ATATGTAAGAGTGTATATATTACAGGTAAATATTATTAATAGGGCGTTAGTTTATGGCGACCCTGTCGCCATGGCGACCCTAATCACGTGATTTTATACTATATTTTGATTGGTCAACTTTTTTTATTTTCGTTAAAAAATTCGCAACACTTTAATTCGCAAAAAGTTTTTTGATTTACGCAATAAAATAATGATATACTGTATGGTTAAAAATCAATTATTAAAGTTTACTAATAGAGAAACATTGTAAAATTTATATTTTATTTTTAACAGAACTAGTAATTTTGATACACAAAAAAAAAATGACAACAACAGAGTAAAAAACAAAATCGAGATGAAGAACAAAACCCACGAAGAAAGTTGAAGAATTAAATGATAATGAAACTCATGAAATCAAAGAACAAAACCAATGACATTGAAAAATAAAGCCTGCGAAGTCAAAGAGTGGCATAAAGTAGAGAAAATATAGTTAGTAAAGAATAATGAAAACAAGAACCTAAAGAATAAAAAAGAAAAAAAAAGAAAAAAATACTCAACGCGAAAAAAAGCCTATAATAAGGTTAAAAAATGAAACTTATAAACAAGTGAGTTAAAGAACAAATAATAACAAAACCTGTGAAGTTAAGAGTAAAACGCGTCACATAATGTTGAAAAGGAAGGAGTTAAAGAACAGCATAGAGAGTCAGTAAAGAACAAATTAAAAAACAAAGGCAAGAAAAAAAAGGACGTACCTTAATTGTAAAACTGTAAGAACCTAAAGACCTATAAAAAAAGAAAAAACAAAAAATAGAAAGAAAGAACGAAAAAACATACCAAAAAAAAATGAAAAAGAAGGAAAAAAAGAAAGGAAAATAAAATCAAAAAAGAGAAAAGGGAAATAAAATGAAAAAAAAGTCAAAAAATAAAACAAGTAAAGCGAAAATAAAGAGAAAAGGAAACAAAAAAAGGAGGGAAAAAGAATAACGAAAAAAGGGGGAAAATAATAACAAAGAACTGAAGGCTGACGTAATTGTAAATATTAGTTAGCCAATCAAATTTGATCAAATGATTTAGGGTCGCACTGGCGATACGGGTCGCCAATGACATTTTCCCTTAAATATAAATACTTTTTATAGGGATAATTCATCTTTTTGAGTATAATATTAACTGAAATATCACATTTTAAAATTTTAATTATATATTAAAATTTGAATTATTTTAGTAATCTTCAGAATCCTAAATAAATTCTAAATAAAGAATAAATTTGTTAATAAATACAGGTAAAATGCTGACCAATCAGGTATCTACCCAATTGGTAACTTTTTTTTTGATCGGTCACCTGATTTATTCAATAGTTAGAAATTGGTGTACACTTCGATCGGGTATCAATCAGATTAATACCCGATTGATAACTATCTTTTAGTTTAAATTTACCGATTGATAATTATCATTTAGTTTAATTTACCGATTGCTCTCTTTAAAACAAATAGTGACCGATTGTTAGTAATTTATAAATTTAAAACAAATTGTAATCCGATTGTTAGTAAATTATAAATTTATTTATCAGATAACTTATTTTAAATGTAAATGAACTCTGTTTTATTACAAATGAAATTGTCTATTAATTGGTATGACTGCCATATAAGTAGTTGGATTTTGTGTGCCAACTGTAAATTTGCTAGGTAAGAATCGACTGTATATGTTATGAATCGGCATGATGGCATCTCTAGATAATTTGTGGAAATCATATTTCCACAATTCAACGTTGCAACTTTTATCATCCCAATTGCCGATTCTGCAATGAAACCTTGTTTTCTCATTTGGTGCACATAAATACCAGTTGACAAAAGCGAGCCGATGCGTCTTAGGACCGATTGGCAGCTGAACTGTATGCTCGAAATAATACTGAACATGACCAGGGTAAATGTCTATGGACTCATCATTCTGTATAAATTTGGCCAGAATATATGAACTTCTTTGATATCGGGGTGCACTTTTTGACCCAAAAATTTCAGCAGCAATCCGAATATGACCAAATTGGGTTACGATTGGCAATACAACGATTGATTGATTGGAATCTACTGATGATAAATCACTCGAAGCTAAATCAGCAATTGATGTAAAATTCCAATCGTATATATCATTATAATATT